TTGTGCAGGCACCACTGTCCTCAGTGTTCCTATTCTTGGATTTTGTTAGTGCTACACTAGTGTGTGTGTGTGTGTGTGTGTGTGTGTGTGCATATAGACTTTGTGATTAGAGGGTAACAGTCTGTCTTTTGTTGTGACAGCTGGTGTGCAGAGTTGGAGGTGACCGGTGGTGCAGCAGTGCTTAGGTTACAGGCACTGCCATCAGGCTCCAGAAGAACCTGTGAACCACTCAGCTTTTTTTAACTTTTTTGACATCTCCCCATCTCATTCAGCATAGTCAGTTCTCAAGTCTCAGGTCTTTTGCAGCAAATGACTAAGGTATAAAAAAAACCTTAATGTGAGAATTTGGATAGAAAAGAGGTAATCCTTGAAGACATAGTAAGAGATGATAATAGGCAAAAATGGCATGTCAGAAATTTATTGAGGCATAGTGTCTCTTGGATACAGGATGCTTGATTTGAATGAGCATTTGTTGTATGCTTCTTGTGCATAGTTGAGTCTTAACTGTGAATAATTATCTATATACTGCATATATACCCTTGTTCAAGGGTACATGCAAGGTACATGAAGGGGTCCTGAGAGCTGCTGTTGCGATGTGATGCAGCAAAAGTAGCTGAGTATTTTGATCTGTGTTTTTCTGATTCATCCTTTTTGAATTTAAAAGGTACAAATGAGAACAATTCAAGCAAGTTTTCTTTCATAAGAATGAGGGTGCTGTCATCAATTTAGACTTCTCCTCCAATGCGTTGCAGGGCCTGCCCACTGGAAGGAGGTTTTTCCTGTCGCTAATGGAGACCGTCAGTCACCCATCGACATCAAAACTGAGGAAACCAAGTATGATCCCTCCCTCCGTCCTCTAAATCCCAATTACGATCCAGCTTCTGCTAAAATCATCCTTAACAACGGGCACTCCACCAGTGTGGAGTTCGATGACACCATCAACAGATCAGGTTTGTTCCTTTCCTATTGTACTGTGTCTTCTGTATAGAGTGCATAGAGCCTGGGCACATCTCACTATTGGGTATGAATTCCTCATGAACGATAAGGCTTTGCTTCTCCAGATGAGAGATTCCTTTTTTCCCTGCCTTTCAGCATTATACAATGTGGGAATTTATTTTGTACATGAGTTCGAGATTGTGTTTCTCAGGAAGTGCTGGGATTCCCTATTCACAGCGGTGGTTTGATCCACCCCAACCATCTGGGTAGTGCCAGCCATCATGTCTGAACAGTGTTGTGTACAATTTTTCAAATGCTGCTCTCTCTCTCACTGCAGATGAATCCTTTGTGTCTCATTACAGGTTCATTCGAACTGAATCGCTCAAATCTCTTATCTGAATTTAGCTGCAGGTTTGGTTATATGTTTTTCCCCTTTTTACAACCCATACTTGGACTTCTTGTGTCAGGAAAGAGCCAATACAGAACAAGTGAAATATATCCCAAATGATCCCTTTTCTTCTCTGAAAAGTGTTATTGTCCCAGTCTTTTCCAGGAGTATGTAGCTTCCCTTTTTGCAAGCAACAGTTCTCTAGTTTAGCATAGTCTTTGTAATGTTAGTGCCTTCATCTTTAAAACCTTGTCTTAGATGTTAGACAAGCCAGCACAACCCCCCTTGAAACTGTAGGAGCACAGAATCTTCAAGCAGTAATATCATCTTGTGGATGCCTGAGGCTTAGCTGAGGATCCAAGCCCATATAATGCTTTCCCAAAAGTCAAAGCCAGAGGGAAAATAATTTTTGATCATGCTGTCCATTAGTCCTGAGGACTTATTAGCTTATAGTGTCAACAGGGAGAGAAATAGATGGAGACACCATTGTGCTTTGGTTTCCTGGACAGTCTTAGTTTTAAGTTTTCTATCAATACAAGCAACATTGGATGTTGCCTGAGGGCCACCAGCTGATCATCAGTGATCGGTCTGACCTCGTGTGTGTCAGATGCCACGGAACTTCCCAGAATTAATCTCTGCTTCAAGCCTAGTAGGCACTGGTGAAGTAAAGCACATCTCTTAGAAAAACACACAATCTTGATTTCAAATTTTCCAGTGATGATGAACCTACCACAGCCTTTGGTAAGTTGTTCTAATTGTTAATTACCCTCACAGCACATCAGCTGATGTGAGTTGTATCAACTTAGCCTTTAAACTCTATTTTTTGAAAAAAAAAGGCAATGAATGTGTATACACCAAGAACCTCTTCCACTCTCTTAATTCCATCCATGAAGTGACAGAGCCTGAACATAGCATTTCTGTAGGCTTACCATGGTACCAAAGCAATGGTAATGTGATCCTCCTTTATTCAGGCCATATCTCCAAGAATATAGTTCATGTCATGGCAAAGCACTGGCAAATGTAGATCAGATAATTAACAGATGTAGTCCCCACTCTCCTTCAGCATAGTCCATATCTTCTGTGTATGGACTAGATTCTTCAATCCACATCCATAAGCTGAATAATTCACTATTTTCCCTAATATTTGTCACTGACAAACTTTATCAGTAATGTTTTTGTTTTCTTTCAGGTCATTGCTCAAAAAATACTGAATTTTCTAGGGCCCAAATTTGGCTTATGGGGCTCACCTGTGAAGTAAGGACTCCTGCTATGTGTTGGTTTCATCAAAAAAAATCAAATTAATTGGTACTAAATACATTAGCGTCTTTTAACGCATTATCAACTGACTTCCATATGAACTATTTCTTCACTTTGGTCAGCATTGAAACTGGGCTGTCAGGTCTGTAACTGTTTGTTTAAGTCTGTTTATGCTCTTTGGTACCACATTAGCTCCATTCTTTGAAATTAGTCAATTGATCTTCTTCTAACATTTTTCAAAATTTGAGATACTGATATTTGCCCAAAAAGCTTCTGACCAGCTTCCTCCTTAATTACGATTGGAATGAAAGGGATTTTACCATCACTGTACGACGTGGCACAAATACATCATCAGGCTGTTTTTCACATTTTTCAGCAAAAGTATTTCACTCCGATGCATTTCTACATAATAGTTTTCCCTCAGCCAGTTACAACACCAATCTTTACGCATTTCTAGGATCATTTGCCTTCAAGTTTTCATTCCTTGAAAGAAGGAATTTGTTTTAGGAGTGCCATTTCCCCATCCCCTATATCTGTAGGCTGTGTAAAAGCATGGTTTTGAGTTGAAGCTTTAAGGAACTCAAATATTTTTCCCCCCATATAAACAGTCCCAGTTCCTTTTCATTAGCTAGGCTACTTGTGTAGCAAATAGGCAACTTAAAATTCTTTCATCTTTATTTGATGTATATTGTTCCTAAGAAAGTTTAGATTTGGGACTAAACCTAGAAGAGAGAAAAAATTGTTCTCCCTACTGCTCTTAATTTAAAAACCATCTGGGTAAAGCTCCCCTCATTTCCCCTTAAAATTTCTATAATGAACCAGTAAACTATTCCCAAGCCTTCAGAGGAAGCCCAGAGAATGGAACGTTTTGTTTTGCAGGGAATAAGGAATCTTTCTGAATACGATTCACATTCAAGTCTCTGTGCAGAGCTGGTTTGGTTCTAGCTCTGATGCGTAAATGATGAGCACTTACAAAAGCAAAACAAGGAAAAGCCTACCCGTATGCATGTTAGGTTGAATAGAATTACATCAGAACAGAATAGAATTAGAACAAAATAGCATTAGAATAGAATAAAATATAGCAGATTCTTTCAGATGGAAGTGACCTACAATGATCCAGCTGCCTGAGCAATTCAGGGCTGACCAAAAGTTGAAGCATGTTGTTAAGGGCATTGTCCAAACACCTCTTAAACACTGACAGGCTTGGGGCATCGACCACCTCTCTAGGAAACCTGTTCCAGTGTTTGACCACCCTCAGTAAAGAAATGCTTTCCAGTGTCCAGTTTAAACCTGCCCTGGCACAGCTTTGAGCCTTTCCTGTGAGTCCTGTCACTGGATACCTGAGAGAAGAGACCAGCGGCTTCCTCTCTGCTTCCTCTCCTCAGGAAGCCATAGAGAGCAGTGAGGACACTTCCCAGCCTTCTTTTCTCCAAATTAGACAAGCCCAAAGTACTTAGCCACTCCTCATAGTACATGCCTTCCAGCCCTGGCTAATTGTCAGTAATATTGCCGTTGTACAATGCATATGCAGCATTGGCTTATTTTTATTTATGTTAATATAAACTCCTTTTTCTCCGACTCCAATCTGATGTAACTAGATTTAGCTGCAAATGAAGGAAAGAGCCTTGAAATTTTTTTAAGCTCCACCTATTTTCCTCCAGATTTCAAAGAGAAGAAGAAATTGTGCTGACATTACATTTTTATGATCATCCCTTTTATTCACAAAATCTATATTTTAAGCCTAATTTCTTAGTGATTCTTTCAAATTTATTCAAGAGAGGAAACTCTCTTGAATGTTGCAAAATAGAAGTATTTTCCCATTTTCTGAGAAATATTCAACTCAAAGCAAGACAAACCTGGAGATAACAACATACCCTTTAGTTGCCCATAACCCACTAATCTACACATAAATGCAATTTTCATAGTCATATCCCGGACAAGTGAGTCTTTCTGTAGTACTTCCAAGAAGTGGGAGGCCATCTGAGAGAGCTTTTTAGAAGGAGCGAAGGACTGTCCAAAGACTGAAGTTTGGTGTGAGGTTAGAGGATGTGGGTAGAGGCTCCTGTTCCTGCAGTGAAGCCTTTTCCTCTGCTTGGGTTTCCAGTGCTGACTGGGGGGCCACTCAGCGGGACCTACAGGCTGCGCCAGATTCACTTCCATTGGGGGTCCAACGATGAAGCCGGCTCTGAGCACGCGGTGGATGGGATGAAGTATGCGGCAGAGGTAAGGCTTTGCATGGACTCATCTGCACCTCTAAGCTTGTGACTAGTTTTCCATTGTAAGGATAATGTTGCCCCTCCTCTTCCTGCTTTTCATCTTCCCTGCATTTTATCAAAAGACAAGCAGTCTTCCTGAAGTGTTGCATGTTTGGTCCTTTCTCAAAGGAGAACCTATTTGAGAGCTTTGGAGAGGATTAAAAAAGGAGTACAGAAGACAAGAGCTTGATAAGAGCAAGATTTAATGTTCAAGAGCTATTTTAATCTTTGTCTTTCGCTGTCTCTTCCTTGGAGAACATTTTCAAACTCAACTTCAATGACAAACAACAGAATTATTTGATTTGGGGCCTGTGCAGTGTAAAGTTTATGCAAGACTTAGAGTATTGCATTTTGTGGTGCACTTAGCAATGTGGTGGTTATGACTTTAAGAACTGCACTTCTTGAGTATCTATGGGATGCCTGCTATCTGTGGGGTAATGTGTTTCAGTGGAGGTGCCACAAGGAGACATGCACCATCTGCTCTGGCATGGAGCTTTCACTCCTGCTCTGTCTCCTTTGGTGCATTTGAGTAATCTGCAAGAAAAAGTATTCAGTATGAGATTCCTCTTTGCAAATGGAAGTAACATGGAGTATTTTGATGAGACTGAGGTCTTTAACAACAGGTAATTCAGAGTGAAAGAGTTTTCTGGGGTTAAAAAGAAGTAAAAAGTGTAAAAATAAATGGTAATGGACAAATAAAAGGCGTAATACTACAGAAGAAAAAAATGCAATGTATGCACAGTAGTGTGATCAGATTTTGCTGGAAGTGATGTAAGAGAGCAGTCAGGAAAAAAAGATCAGTTTTCTAACACTAATGGGGAAAAGTGATATTTGCAGTGTTTAAAGGCTTATGTTTTCCACAGGAACCAGGTGAGATGGAATATAAAGAATTAATAGAGGTGCTTTAAAACCATTAAGTACCAACCCCAAATTTCTAGCTGAGAAAATTATATGTTTCCCATCTAAGAAACCAAAAAGAAGGAGAAAATATCTCTGAATTTCTAGCCAGTCTAAAAACCTTTCTGTTACCTGTTGGTTGGGTAACCCTCCACAAGAAGCTCTCCAGATGTCACTTTGGCTTTGGGATAAGAAACGCAGAATTAAAATCAAGGCTTCTGAGCATTGTTCACACAAAAGAAAATACCTCAGAAGGAGATGTGAAAATGGTTTCAGTGCTCACCTTTGTAAGGAAGATGTGCAAGATTTCAAGAAAAAGCATCAAGTGAGTTGAAGAAAGAACTAGTGTACAGGTAAAGAAGGCTTCAAGGTTTGGCCTCTAATCCCACCGGGAAGCAGAAGCGATCCATGGCTCCATTCTTTGTGACAACATATGGTCTGATCAAGATCTCTTCACAAGCTGCAGTGACAGAGCGGTGGTAAGACGGGATATATTCCTTACAGAGAAGTCACAAGCCATTGAGAAGGGGTCTGTACCCAAAAGTGTTTCACAGCTCTGTTTCTTTGGGGATTTTGTTTTTTTGGGATGGTGGGCTTGGGTTTTTTTGGGGCAAAGCTATGAGGGAGTGGAGTGGGCTGTTAGTAGTTGTGGGAATTTTCCTTTTTGTTCTTTGTTAGCTTTTTTTTCCTTTTTTTTTTTTTCAAATCCACAATAAAAGTCAATTCTGACTGAGAGTATCTGTTTCCTTTTTGTGTATGTTAAAAGTTAATTGTTTAAAAGTTGTTCAATGTAGCTTCTGTGAACTTATAATAGTGAGTGGTGCAGACATTATGAGCTCCAGGACACTAATGCACTTGTGAAAGGTTTAGTGGACTATGTTCTCTTCCTGGTTTAATTTATAATATTTTTAGCAACTTTCCTTCAAGGATTTCTGAAGCTGTGAGCCAGCATGTGTGTCATCGTGGCCATACATGTATTATTGTTGACTACAGTGATATTCCTTACTTGCTGGAAGTAATGTTTCAGCACTTTAGAGCCCAAGTGCTTAACAAACATTAACATGAAGTAAGACCAAGTAAGAGATATGAAAAATTGAAACTCAGAGAGGTTAGGCAAGGATTGAGATTTAGGGTAAAAATCTTTATTCTAGATCCCTATTTCAGCCATGCAGCTATGTTATTTCCCATAGGAAACCTTTAAAGCAAGTTCCAGCTTTCCTAAATTGCTTTTACTTTAGTTGTCTTATAAGTGCTGTATTCCAAAAGGAAGCCTTTTTTTTCAGGGATACATCCCAGTTTAAGTCATTCAATGAAGCTGCTTTTCAGCACTCCTAAAGTTCAAGGTCTGAAAAGATGGCCACCAATTTTAGAAAAGCCAGTCTCATGCCCTGCTTCTGAGCGTCTCTGTCTAAAAACTGTGGGTAATAAGATTTACTAATCCATTGAGGATTTGTGACAGTAATTAATGTTTTTGAAGTACTTAGACGTAAGTGCTGTGTGACTGTTTATACTCTCTCCAGAGGCTGGGATATCCTGGAGCTTCCTGAGTACCAGGAGCTTCCACCATGAATTGTGGTCAGGAATTAGGAAACCTGGTTTAGCAGGAGGGACTTAGGTGATGTGGGAGCAGAGATCATGGGCTTTTCCTTTTTCCACCTGGCTAGGTGGTGTCTTTAAGCTGCTTAAGCAAGTACAAGAGGACAGTTCCAGAATAATACATGTTGGAAATGCAAATGCTCAAACTTGAGATAATCAAGCTGCTTGTAAGGGCCTAACTACTGGTGGTCGTAGAAAATAACATTTGGAAAGTATCAAAAATGAAATGTTGCTTTTTAGCGTGAACTAAACAAGGGACAAGGGGTCAGTGCAAGTTTAATGTGTGTTCCTCTGCCTGTTTTCTAGCTATTTATGTGGCCGATTAATGTTGCTGAAAGCTTGATTAAAGAAAAAGATGAGTAAAATACTAAGGACATCCTCATGAATTTCAATCACTTTTTAAAATCAGCTGTACTAAATATGGATTTAAAACCTTTAGTTATATAACCTTTGGCTTTCTTGTCTTAACTTCCCAATTCAAAATCTGGAGGGCCCAACAGCAGTTTGTCAGGCACTGTGGTGTGCTGATTCCTGCTAAACTTTGAATAATCCCAGCCCCTGGAAATACTTTTGCCATTTGTGTGAACTATATGTTTACTGATTTCATGAAATATCTCCACTAAATGGCTCTGCATACAAAAGAGTGAAGTAGAGTATCTAACCCAGAAAGTTGTAGTATTCATTTGCCACTGCTTCAGTTCAGCGAGAGTTGATGCTGTCTGTGTCTCTTGCGTTTCAGCTTCATGTGGTCCATTGGAATGCAGAGAAGTATTCCAGCTTTGTTGAGGCAGCTCGTCAGTCAGATGGATTAGCAGTCATGGCTGTATTTCTGAAGGTAAGAAAAGAATGCTCCAGCCCTCCTAATAAATCTGCATTATAAGCCCAAAGAGATAATCATGATGGTTGGTGTAATTATTGCTAAAAAGATACTTGTTTTATACTTGTTTCCTTCATAGTGTTTAGCTGCCAATATGGAAAGCTATGCTTCCTTGAAGAATAAAAATATCAGATTAAGAGATTTTTCGAGACAGTGAGAGTCTGTTTGCCTAGTTTGCACTCCAGTACAGCATAAGATGTGAAACTTAATTCAGCTGCCCCTATATGGATCCAGATAACCTGTACTTGACTAATAGGTTTCTTTATGGGGACAATCTGATTTGATTCAAATGTTTCTTTAACAGTTTGTTTCTGAGCTGGTAGTTTCTTCTAGAAAATAATAATAATAAAACCAAAACCAGAAACTGGAGAATTTCCTTATAATTCTTATATATCTTTTTGCCATTTGTCCCTGTTCTAAGATGAATTAAACTTATGCAACAGCTTCATTGACTTCTGCATGAAGAAACAGATGGAGAATTCACACAATCCATGGCAAAAGATAGGGCTTTGGTCAAATCTGTGGTTTCTGGTGGATGCCACAGCTTCCTGAGCACAGCTAGTGCTGATGCTGGCACAGTCAGGAAGCCATTCCATCTAGCAGTTGCAAAGAACTGCTTCAGTAATTCAGTCTTTCAAGTTTGCATTATAATGGTTCAAGGGAAAGTGTTACTGGACTTCTGAGCAGACAAATTCTTCTTGGGATACATAAAAACAGTTTTTTCGATGTTTTAAGTAATTTAAATTACAGATGTAAGCTTGCCACTTTTAATATCTTGCATATTAAAACATGAACAATAATGGTTTCTGTTCTCCTGTAGTGAAAAGTTTGTGATTCATTTGGAGCTGAAATAATTACTATGGGTAGCCAGAATAATTATTATCAGCAAGGGAGCGGATCTTCTTTATGACCAGTACTATTTCCAAGGACCAGCTAGTTACAGGCTTCTTCACGAAGTCCATCGGCTCTCACAGTCACTTAAGGAGAGTTATATAAAACAGTTTAATTATGCATTTGCTTTTTGATTATTTATTTTTGTTATTTTCCCTGGAGCTCCAGTGTTTCTCTTTTCTCTGGTTTTAATAGATTGGTGAATGCAACCCTCAGCTGAAGAAGATTACTGACCGCTTGGACACCATCAGAATCAAGGTAAATGAGTTTTTCTAAAAAAATACTAATATTGGTAGTTGCTTTTGTTGTTTTGGTGGTTTTTTTTATTTTTTGAAACCTGGCTGCTACTCCGTTCACTTTCATGTTCCCTGATTACTGGTATCATAGCTATCCACATCTGGTTTGAGACAGTTTAGGAGCATTTTTCTTAGGCCAAAAACTAAGTAGACAGTTTTTATACAGTAAAAGATCAGAGGAAAAGGCTAATTCCTCACAGAACCCAGTCTCTGATGAATGTGTTGCTATGAGAATAGTAGCAGGGGAAGAACATACTTTATGTAAAGCTGTGAAAAAGATGAGGGAAGTATTTCTCCTGTTTTGCTGAGGTACAGGGTGAGAAATAACAGAGGTACAGAGTGAGAAATAATTCTATTGTTTGCGTGAGATAAATCAGCCTGATTCTCAACATGATGTTTTGTACAGTCCTCTCTGGCCTGGTGGCTGGAACACGGAGAAACAGTAGTAACACGTGGACCTGGGAGGAGCAAATGGTGAAAGGAGCCGGTGGCAGTAACCTGTGGGGTTACTCTGCCAGCTCCACAGAGACCACACTGAAAGTCTAACATCTTCTGTCCTCTCCATTCAACTTTCATCTCATGGTCACTTGTAACTCAGGGGAGCCTATGCTAAAATGACACCTTTGATGGTGTCCTGCCGGCAGCAGGGACAGCAGCAGAAAAAGCTGTCACAGAGGTAAGGCCTCGTCAGAATGTCTGACTGATGAGGACCTCCATCATCCAGGATGCTGCCAGCCCACCTGATAGTGGAGCAAGCTCTACCTCCTTTGGCATGATTTATCTTGGCCTCTTGCTTATAAATAACATTAAATAACATTTCCCTGTTTTTTTTCTTTTTCTTTTTCTTTTTTTTTTCTTTGAAATAAAATTCTAAATATAATTAACCTAGAATACAAATGACCTTTTTCTTTAATTTCCAGGGTAAAAAAGCACTATTCACAAACTTTGATCCTAGCTGTCTGCTTCCCAAGTCCCTGGACTACTGGACTTACTTTGGCTCTCTTACTGTTCCACCTCTTCTTGAGAGTGTTATCTGGATTGTTCTGAGAGAGCCCATAAGCGTTTGTTCTGAACAGGTACTGTTTGATTTGTCACCATTATCAAAATATTGCTTTTGTAAGACTTGAAATTGTAAATAACATCCACAAATATGTCATTGCAGAACTTATGGGATTTTCAAAAGGCAAAATTTGTATATCAAATTTATCCTGACTTCCTGTTGCTTTTCTTGCTGTAACAGCTATTTATTATTCATTTTTAAAAAGAATCTGCATACTCTAAAAATTAATAATCAAAAATAACCCATAAGGAACTTACAGCAAAAAAAGAGTTCTGATGACCCTTAGGAATTCTGGAATTCCATTTGATTTGATTACTTGCATATCCTACTCAAGCCTCTTCTCTGGCGTTTTTATCTGGCAGATAAATAGTAAATTTATTCTTGCATTCCAGATATGTAAAACTTGATGAATTTACTAGAATTGTGAAAAGCAAATACAATCGTAATAAATTGGGGTTTTATGTTAGGCTGTCTTAGGAAAACTGTGATACTTCATAAAAGAGTTATTTACATGTCTTGTTAAATTAAGCTTCATGATGTATCTTAATGTTGCAACAGTGACACCCAGCGGGCTGATGCTCTAGGGTGTAAAGAGTTTTTCAGACCGGAGACTGCATACTCAGCAGAAATGGTGACTTCAGTCTTTATACT